ATACAAACACAGCAAGGTGGAATGATGAGATCAAAAGATGTAGGGTCCAGCAAGTCCATGATAACTTTTAGTTCAAACTACAGAGAAGGAAAAATCTGCCGACAAACAATCCAAGAAATAAACACTCTTTTTAACGTCTTCAAGCATTTTAGACGGTCATATATCTTACAGACCAATTGGCACTCTGTGGGTGATGTCAGCAAACCCATCCCCTTTACTTGCCAGAACGTTACCTAATACCCATTTCAGGCTGGTTCAACCCTAGAGCCGAGGCCATTTGTTCAAAGTGCAGCTCTATCAGGGCCTGAACCCCCAACCCTCCCATCCACAGGCAAGTGGCTGGCCACTACACCACAGCGGCTCCAAACAACCCAAGATATATTGATAAATGTTTTAATCACTGAGCGTTGGAGCACGATTCAGAGCTGCTAAACCTCAAACCTGGTGGTACAACAGTATCAAGGCACAGCTGCTGAACCTCACCTGGTGGTACAACAGTATCAGGGCACAGCTGCTGAACCTCACCTGGTGGTACAACAGTATCAAGGAAGTGCGGCAGAACCTCACCTGGTGGTACAACAGTATCGGGGCACAGCTGCTGAACCTCACCTGGTGGTACAACAGTATCTAGGCACAGCTGCTGAACCTCACCTGGTGGTACAACAGTATCAGGGCACAGCTGCAGAACCTCACCTGGTGGTACAACAGTATCAGGGCACAGCTGCAGAACCTCACCTGGTGGTACAACAGTATCAGGGCACAGCTGCAGAACCTCACCTGGTGGTACAACAGTATCTAGGCACAGCTGCTGAACCTCACCTGGTGGTACAAAAGTATCTAAGCACAGCTGCTGAACCTCAGCCGGTGGTACAACAGTATCTAGGCACAGCTGCTGAACCCCACCTGGTGGCACAACAGTATCAGGGCACAGCTGCTAAATCTCACCTAGTGGTACAACAGTATCAGGGCACAGCTGCTAAATCTCACCTGGTGGTACAACAGTATCAGGGCACAGCTGCTGAACCTCAACCGGTGGTACAACAGTATCAGGGCAGAGCTACTAAACCTCACCTGGTGGTACAACAGGATCAGGGCAGAGCTGCCGAACGTCACCTGGTGGTACAACAGTATCAGGGCACAGCTGCCGAACCTGACATCAAACTATCACTCTCACACTAACATCAAACTGTCACTCTCACACTGACATCAAACTGTCACTCTCACACTAACATCAAACTATCACTCTCACACTGACATCAAACTATCACTCTCACACTGATATCAAACTATCTCTCACACTGACATCAAACTATCACTCTCACACTGACATCAAACTGTCTCTCTCACACTGATATCAAACTATCTCTCACACTGACATCAAACTATCACTCTCACACTGACATCAAACTATCACTCTCACACTGACATCAAACTATCACTCTCACACTGACATCAAACTGTCTCTCTCACACTGACATCAAACTGTCTCTCTCACACTGACATCAAACTATCACTCTCACACTGACATCAAACTATCACTCTCACACTGACATCAAACTATCACTCTCACACTGACATCAAACTGTCTCTCTCACACTGACATCAAACTGTCTCTCTCACACTGACATCAAACTGTCTCTCTCACACTGACATCAAACTATCACTCTCACACTGACATCAAACTGTCACTCTCACACTGACATCAAACTATCTCTCTCACACTGACATCAAACTGTCACTCTCACACTGACATCAAACTGTCTCTCTCACACTGACATCAAACTGTCACTCTCACACTGACATCAAACTGTCACTCTCACACTGACATCAAACTGTCACTCTCACACTGACATCAAACTGTCACTCTCACACTGACATCAAAAATCTCCACAACCATCAAACACATAATACAGACTTGGGGGGGGGGGGGGGGCGTGGGGGAACCACTGGGCTAGTTCTAGGAACTACACACTATGTAAGTAGAGGAATGCTTTTGTCAGTTCTCCAAACTGAACAAGCTGACATGACGTCACATGGATGTTGCTGCAAGCAAACCTGCCTCTTATCAAACAATGTGGGCTTGTAATGATTCAAGACAATCATACCTCAGTTAAAGCTACTGTTGACTGCTTTGTCAGTGTTAATTGGCCAGTATGGGGGAAGTCATTACTGTCCTTCTATTCTGAAGAGCTATTTTAAAATCTTGACTTGAGCTGGGGAAACAGCTGACAGTCTTATCACATGAATTACACACACATAAACACACATATACACTTACAGACATAATTGGAACAAGTAGGGCCAACAACAGAATCAAAGATGGGACTGCCACAAAAGCAGGCATGTTTCTCTGCTGTTTGTCAACTACAGGAGAAATCCCACATGTCAAACTGCATTTCAAGTCTAAGCCGCACAACAGGGATCCGAACACAAACCAACATAAGTACAGAGTTAACAGTTACAGTGGAATGTTATTAAAAAGTGATATGTAATATGGAATGATCATTTGTGTTGCAACAAGTCTAAACATGTTCATATCAAGTGACAATGATGAAGTTATCTATATAAATGACAATATAATAAAAAACACTACATGTTTATATACACCTCATCAAAGTTTCATAGTGATGACATTTCTAAGTGCTTCCATGTGAGCTACAGAAACTACTGACACAAGCAACAAGCAACTAGAGGCTACTAACCACATACAGAGATAAACCAACAAATGAGATTTGACATTCTAAGAGTTAAGTACGGGCGATGCAGGTCCCTACAACAGAACAAAAATATTCAAATGACATTTTATGTTCAGAGGGTTGAAAACAGCCTGCAGACCTGTTTAACATTGTGTCCGAACACTTACAGCAGACACACTGCCGGACCACAGTTCTGTGTGTAGGTCAGGTCAACATATAGTCTAGTCGATTCCCTCACCACATTACAGCAATGTTCTATTTTGATTCATTCACCATAATTACATCACTTTTCTACTGTTCCCATGAGACTGAAGTCAAGTAAACCAGTCAGTCAAAACATCTGAATTAGTCGACTCAGCAGCTGTTGACGCTGTGTACTAAAGCTATGTCAGTGTCACTTGTCAAAATGGATATGAGCCTGTGTCATCACAGTGAAACAGGCCAGTGTAACAACAGTGAAACAGGCCAGTGTAACAACAGTGAAACAGGCAAGTGTAACAACAGTGAAACAGGCAAGTGTAACAACAGTGAAACAGGCCAGTGTAACAACAGTGAAACAGGCCAGTGTAACAACAGTGAAACAGGCCAGTGTAACAACAGTGAAACAGGCCAGTGTAACAACAGTGAAACAGGCCAGTGTAACAACAGTGAAACAGGCCAGTGTAACAACAGTGAAACAGGCCAGTGTAACAACAGTGAAACAGGCCAGTGTAACAACAGTGAAACAGGCCAGTGTAACAACAGTGAAACAGGCCAGTGTAACAACAGTGAAACAGGCCAGTGTAACAACAGTGAAACAGGCCAGTGTAACAACAGTGAAACAGGCCAGTGTAACAACAGTGAAACAGGCCAGTGTAACAACAGTGAAACAGGCCAGTGTAACAACAGTGAAACAGGCCAGTGTAACAACAGTGAAACAGGCCAGTGTAACAACAGTGAAACAGGCCAGTGTAACAACAGTGAAATAGGCCAGTGTAACAACAGTGAAACAGGCCAGTGTAACAACAGTGAAACAGGCCAGTGTAACAAGCAACTCTTGAGGCCCCTCCCCCCGCGGGGCTTGAACCAGCCCGCACAAACATCAGATCGCTACAAAGACCAGACTCAACCACAAACAGAACCAGCCAAAACTGGTCAGCTCTCTCCCGTCTGATATTTTACATTTCATGTTCACCAATAAAGGTTAGGCAGCCATGTTTGCATGCCAGTCTGCTGGACATGGGTTTGAGTCCCTCAGGGTAAGATTTGGTCACTGATTGGTTTTTTTAATTGAGATAGCCTTGAATGGGCCCCACAGATATTACCCAGAAGTCAGCGCAAATGGCCCTTATATCATTTCTATAATTCTACAGTTGATCGATGAGTAAGGCTTTCTGTATAGTATATTAGATTAGATTAGAGGACAATGAGTGCATCTTGTGGAAACTGTCTTGAAATGTTTGTGAGGACACTACCCCCCCCCCCCCCCCTTCCTCCAATGTGAATAACCTTAAACAAATAATTTCAGTCAGGAAACAAATTTCCCATGAGCCCACAACTATAATACCCTACTTTGACTGCAGTACATTTTGTGACTGTTATAATTTTGTAGCTAACCACAAAACTGTCAGCACAGAGTAAATGTGCAAACAGTATCTTTAAATGAATACGTTTGTCGCTAACAAAATATCGAGCTGAAAATCACTTATCCACTTTTTAAAAAAATAACTCTTGCTACAATGCATTACTTATTTTGATAATTTTGTTTACTGCCTATAATAAGAAAGGACATCTCATTATGAAGAAGACAAACACAAGCCACTAGGATTTATATTACTGTTTTATCTCCACCTGTAAAAATCAAAACTTGTATTTTACTTGCAATAACTTTCCTGACATCTAAATTTAAGTCAGTTTCCACAACTAGAGTAATTAATAGTCAACACTTGAACTGTGATCAATGAACTCACAAAATAAACACTCAATCCTTGGCCGGCTGATCAATTTCAGAACACAGTATCTGTTTAAATGTTGGCTTATTGAAATGTTGGTAGAATGTATACAGGGAAACAGTAGCGAAACAAACCAGAATCTAAGTCTAAATATATTGGTAACACTGAACAGTAAGTGGGTCTGAGATTTTTCATGGGGAGAGTTGGTGTATCACAGGTAACACTTAGTCATCAGCTAACAGACAAGGAACGTTCTGCAGACAGGAAGTCATATATTCAGTCTCACAAGGCACTATGGATGGTGGGCTAATTTCTCAATGGTTAAAATACAAGAACAAATACAGATTAGAAGCTTGTGGAATCAGCAACAACTTCATCTTCTCCATGATGCCAACACAACAGCCACAGACGTCACCAGCAGGACAAAACTTGGTAGCAGTCCGGAGACTCCCAGCTGAGGAAAGAAAATCTGCAGTGATAAAACACTGACAATAAAAACAGCAGTTTTACAGTAATTGCCAGTACCATTCTCTTCTGTCTAAGGTAAAATTCTCTAAGAACTTCAATGCTACCAGTCAACTTCCTCTAACAGTCCACAATTAAGTCCCACTGGGTGACCATATCTGTGTACTTATTCACTAGTCTCACAAGATATTTATACACCTGTTTTTTTCTTTCTTTGAACAACTGAGTCTGTGATGTTATTTTTAAAATTAGTTACAAGGAGAAGAGAGAATGCAATTTACGTTTTCTGTGATTGTTTCAAATGATCAATTTCTAGCAACAGAAGTGTTCTGTCTGAATACAGGGATGTTTAGCTTCACTCTCTATTATGAGGCTTTTATATATGTTTTGTCTACTTTAAATGCAGCTTGTGCAAAAGTGATTATGTGCTCTTATTGGACTTTGATTTTTCCAGTATATTATCTGCCTTGCAAACAATGGGGTACTATATTCTTTTGCTTTATTCTACAGAGACATTTTCTCCTCAACAGCACCCACCTAGTTCATTAAGCACCCACCTGTTCATTAAGCACCCACCTAGTTCATTAAGCACCCACCTAGTTCATTAAGCACCCACCTGTTCATTAAGCACCCACCTAGTTCACTAAGCACCCACCTAGTTCATTAAGCACCCACCTAGTTCATTAAGCACCCACCTAGTTCATTAAGCACCTGCCCACCTGGGAATGGCCTCAGGTGTTACGAGTGTACATGTTTCGTTCGTTCGTTCCCTAGGCCATATTTGGCCGGCGGGCCACTTGCTAGGCCTCCCTGGGACTGATTTGGCTGGCGGGCTGCAAGTTGAATAGCCCTGTTCAACAACAACTTGTACAGTAGTGTAACAACCAGGAACTGGTGGAAGCATAACCAAAGACAGATTTTGGCACAGAAGAAGTCAGTGACACAAGAGTCAGATAAAACACTGACAGATATAATGGACAAACTACTTACTGTAACGTAAAAGTTGCATCGGTCACCCTGGCAACACTCGTAACATTGCCAATCTCTATACCAGTCCCTCATGCACGCGATGCCAACCTCTCGTTGTCTGCTGGCACAGTACGAGGAAGAGTTACAGCTCTTGTGCACATAGTGTATCTTTTCACTTCTAGGTGTCCAAAAATCTGGTGCTGTAAGTAGATTAAATGATTTTACTGCAAATTTATCAAACCATTCCAGTGTGGATTTATTAAATGCTGTCACACCCACAAGTGAAAAACTGAAGAAATAACCAGCTACATTATATCAGACATATTTACTAACAAAGTGAGTTTTTACATGATTATGCAATTTTTGAAAACCAACTTAGAAAAATAACATTCTGATGACATTCACGATTTTGTCATTTACTCTTTAAATTCGTAACATCTGGTTGCTAATGACACGGAAACATGACATTTGTTCAGCATCAACAAAGCAAACAACAGCCACACAAACCACACACAAATCACAAGTGCACATGTCTGGCTCGCTCGTTTGTGAAGCCACAGCCATACAAACCAGCCATACAAACCACATATAAATCACAAGTGCGCATGTCTGGCTCGCTCGTTTGTGAAGCCACTGCCAAACAAACCACAAACAAGTCACAAGTGCACATATCTGGCTCGCTCGTTTGTGAAGCCACAGATAATATCTTTGTCAATGAAATGATTTACAAAATCTATTAATATATCTTGTCCATGTATGCCTCTAGGTCACATATGTTATTTCTGACCTTGATTAACAGTTTTTGAATGCCATCTATAAGTATTGAACATATTTTTCCACCTGAGATTTTAACTGACATTATAAATTTGGAATTTTGTCTTTTTCAACAGATTTCTTGTTTTTCTTCACAGCCACCAGCTGTAAATTCTTGTAGAAAGTTCTGGGTTTTCACTGACCTCTGGACTTCACATTTCCTTGTTCCAGAACCCAAGTGTGCAAATTTATTTCATACATCTGGCTAATTTGTATGCAGACTTTTGGTTCCTTGCCTCTACGACAGAGGATGCTCCCAATAAGCTGACTCCTACAATATGCTTGTTGGGGTGGCAATGGATCAAGGAGGCAGTGGGTTTTGGTGGCAGTGGATCAAGGAGGATTTGGATCAGGGAGGCAGTGGGTTGGGGGTGGCAGTGGATCAAGGAGGATTTGGATCAGGGAGGCAGTGGGTTGGGGTGGCAGTGGATCAAGGAGGATTTGGATCAGGGAGGCAGTGGATCAAGGAGGATTTGGATCAGGGAGGCAGTGGGTTGGGGTGGCAGTGGATCAAGGAGGATTTGGATCAGGAAGGCAGTAAGTTGCGGAGGCAGTGGGTCTATTCTTGTTTTTCCTGTAGTGGAGCCCCAGAACACAGCAAAGATAACACTTCAAAAAAAGTGTTGTAAATGGATATTCATAGATTCAGAAGCATTCTTGTAACAGATGACAAATGCAAATTAAGCAACTGAATACAATACATTTATGAATATGTAGTTGGGTTTTAAAAAAGTAGGCTGGGGTGCAGGCAAAGAGGTTTTTGTATTTGTTTTTGTATTTGAGTATGTGGTAACATCCAGGGTGAGAGTTATGAGTTATCAGTTAGATTATCTTCACAGCACTCCAGACACATCCATAGGTGCTCAGATTCCCCTCTCAACATATTCATCAGCGTTCCGCGGGTAATAGTGCCAGTCCTAAGTTGGTTAACAAGACTTCATGTGCGTCCGGTGTGCTTGTCGTGCTTGGCTGTGCCGATCTTGACTCCCAATTCCCGTATTCCTAGCAGTTATGTGGGCACGTGGCTTCCAAAATCCTTAGAACTTCCAATTTCTCTAAGGGCAATGACAATGTCTGCGTGATCCATGGGCCGGCTATCTTCAATTACTGCAGCACCAGCCAGTCTATCAGCTCTCTCAATACCAATAATCCCTGCATGCCCTGGGACGAATATAAAAGTAACTGCTCAGGCCACTGTCTGCGCAACCAGCCTGCCTCAACTAGCCGGATCATACTTGAAGACTTAGCACACACACGCGGGAATAGTCCTGTGATCCCAGCCACATAAAAACCTGTGTCACCGCCATCACCTCCATTGTCATGCTGCTGGTGGTCATGGAGAAGGCACTGCTGGCTTCCTTAACTTTTCTGCCTGAAGAGCGAGCTGTAAATGCCCATGCACTCTTATGTCCTCGTATAACGGACCCGTCTGTGAAGATCACCACATGTCTCATCTGACTTGTCACTGATAAGCGCCCATACCTCAGCACAGACAGCAGCTGGATTCTGCTCCCGACAATTGCTATCGAGCGTCACAACACAGGAGAATGTGAGATTGAGGGCTTTAGATTCTGGTATCCACTCCTCACCTGGATGGATATCTGTAAGGCTGCAAACCTGCCATGATGTCATCCTCTGCCCTACCCAGCCATGATTTGCCCCTTTTTCTTAAAGAGCATGTGGTGCAAAGGGTGCTTCAGATTTGAGCTTATCTTGAGGTATGCACTAGCCCTCCAGATCTTGATTCTGTAGTTCATGTTAGGGAAGTCAAGAAGGTAAATCATTGCTACACAAGAGGTGTCTCCAGTGCACACTAGAATAATGCACATTGCCTCATTCCAGGGTGAGAATAAAAGTGCAGGCTGTGTAGTAGCTTTCTCACTGCTGGAGAGTGGCACAGTGTGACATATATTATCATATCTGCAATAGGCTTGTAGAAATTAAATGCTGTTTGTGGAGCAGTAAGCGCTGCTAGATAAGACTTAAATCAGTACCATACCAACTTTACCTTCCAAGGAGATGCCAGTGTGTGGGGTTATAAGCAGGCTGAGACACTCGCTGATTCTGCATCTTTGGGTAGTGAGTTACTTTATGATAAGGTGGATGCGATAAAAACATTCAAGGGGATCAAGTGTATAATTCAGCAGTAGTAGTTCAGTTCAGAGAGACCAGAAGAACTTAAAACACTGACTGGCAATGTCACACTGTTGCAAGAGTTGTGAACTGACAACACTTACTGGCAATGTCACACTGTTGCAAGAGTTGTGAACTGACAACACTGACTGGCAATGTCACAATGTTGCAAGAGTTGTGAACTGACAACACTTACTGGCAATGTCACACTGTTGCAAGAGTTGTGAACTGACAACACTGACTGGCAATGTCACACTGTTGCAAGAGTTGTGAACTGACAACACTGACTGGCAATGTCACACTGTTGCAAGAGTTGTGAAAGTCAAAGAGGACTAACCTCGCCACTCGATGTGGGTCATACACGTGTCCTGCTCCTCCTCACACTGGACCGATGTCTTCACACACTTGTCCTTGTTGTCCGGCTGGTTGTGGCAGACGTAACACTCCAAACAATATCCTGCACACACAAAATTGGATCAAATTTGATTAATTAATATTTGAATTCAGCAATGTTTAATTAAATGTAAAGAACAAGGTAGACCAAGCAGAAAAGATAACATCAAACACTACAATGCTTGCTCAAAAACTGTCATTTCATGTTTCACAGCTGTTAAACAGGTGTCTCCGGTGCAACCCAGAATATTGCGCACTGCTTCGTTGTGCCTTTTTTAAAGTCTTTCAGTCTGAGTATGGTTGACAGTGATGATGGCTAGAGCATATTTGATGGAAGAAAGTACAAGTCCCTGGAGCAGAAGCAGAAGTGGTCTCCTTAAATCAGACGTGATGATCTTCCTCAGAAAACTGCAACTATTCACTTGCTTGAAATGTTCCTAAGTATTCGGAGAGAACTGTGCTTGAAGTGTTCCTAAGTATTCGGAGAGAACTGTGCACAGTTATTTTTAGATTTCATCTCAGAAATGGCCACAATATTCATCAACTCTAAACCTTCTATGTACTGAAGACTGGGTTCATGTCTGTGTTCACAGCTAAAGGCTACATACCACATCTAGAGTTTTATCTAATATCATTGTATCATCATCATTGTATCATCATCATTGTATCATCATCATTGTATCATCATCATTGTATCATCATCATTGTATCATCATCATTGTATCATCATCATTGTATCATCATCATTGTATCATCATCATTGTATCATCATCATTGTATCATCATCATTGTATCATCATCAACATCCCGTAACACTGCGTATTGTTGAGTCAGCAGTTTCTGTTGACTGATCAGCTCTCTCTCAACGGTATTGTTTTTGAGAAGTTGTTAGATCTTATTACATGTTCATATCACTGCATTTTTTCCTGTTCACCATAGTTAACAGAGGTTTCATAGTCGCCACATGTCCTGTACAATTTTAGAGCGAACTTTTTCATTTGTAATGTGATCTCTGCATGATATGCTAAGATATTTTTCTGAAACATTACATTTCTAATGCTTGTATCGTTCTTTCAATTTCAGCTGTTAAGGTCCACGTTTCACAGCCATATGTAAATGTACTAACAGCTAGTGCTCTGAGCAATCGGATCTTAGTTTTACATTAAATGTTTTTGGATGTCCATAATGTTTGCCGCTTGGCAAGGACTGATGTTTTCTGGGCAATTCTAGACATGAATTCTGGTCGTGACCCCAAGTCACCTAAAATGGATCCTAAATATTTGAAATGAGCCACTTGTTATAATTTGTGGCATTGAAAGTAGACTGGTGAAATTCTGCCAGCTGGATTATTTTTTGTTTTATCAGTGTTTATTTCTATGCCATAATTGGATGATGTTTCATCGAGTAGATTACCAAACTTGACTAGCTCTTGTTCATCCTCAGCCAACCCATCGATGTCCTCTGCAGACCTTAGGTTTGTTATAGTTCAACCTCCTTTATTAACTGTTCTATGATGTTGCTCTATCATATCTTTTTATTTAAATTTCTTATTATTCTCTCTAAATGAAAGTCAACATATTCTGCAACACAACACAGACAATACAGATCTCTCAGAAGCTGAAATATTTTGGTCATTTCAAGCGCCATGACAGATTGGAAACAATTATAGCAGAAGGCATGGTCCCTGGAAGGAGGGGCAGGGGTCGACCGACAGGAAGATGGGCACAGGATATAAGCAATTTCTTGAGTATGAGAGTACATAAGGCGGGAGGGAGAACTGGCGAGAGACCGAGTTTCTTTCAGGCAGACCGTGATGAGAGTGACATTCTGCAAAGGACCTGCTACATGATGATGATTATAGACAAACAGTTCCTTGTGTGAGTCCAGGACCCCACTGTCCTCTTTTTGATATTTTTTCTGTGTTGGAATATGTATAACTTTGGCACAATCAGTAGTCCCTCATAGTTAATACACATGAGTGAGTATTATCAATGTGAGACAACAGTATATCAATGTATGAATGTGAGACAAGAGTATATCAATATATGAATGTGAGACAACAGTTTATCAATATATGAATGTGAGACAACAGTATATCAATGTATGAATGTGAGACAACAGTATATCAATATATGAATGTGAGACAACAGTATATCAATGTATGAATGTGAGACAACAATATATCAATAATGTATGAATGTGAGACAACAGTATATCAATGTATGAATGTGAGACAACAGTATATCAATGTATGAATGTGAGACAACAATATATCAATAATGTATGAATGTGAGACAACAGTATATCAATGTATGAATGTGAGACAACAATATATCAATAATGTATGAATGTGAGACAACAGTATATCAATGTATGAATGTGAGACAACAGTATATCAATATATGAATGTGAGACAACAGTATATCAATGTATGAATGTGAGACAACAATATATCAATAATGTATGAATGTGAGACAACAGTATATCAATGTATGAATGTGAGACAACAGTATATCAATATATGAATGTGAGACAACAGTATATCAATGTATGAATGTGAGACAACAATATATCAATAATGTATGAATGTGAGACAACAGTATATATATCAATGTATGAATGTGAGACAACAGTATATCAATGTATGAATGTGAGACAACAGATCAATTAAAAAATTGCATTTGAATAAATCTTTCAACTCTAAAGGACACATTGTTACATTATTTAATTTTTTCGTTTATTTTATCAATGATTTAAATGACTTAGATTATTAGTGATTATAATAATAAATACATCTTAACATTTCAAATTTCGTTACGATCATACGGTAAAGTAAAAGTAAGGTAGACTAGACTGTACACTACACTACAGTAGTAGCGGATACCCTACCTACGACCCACCCAGACCAGATATCCATAGAGACACTTGATTAATCAAGGCTGGAAACCCAACAACATCTTACGGTTACAGTCAGTCACTTTTAGGAAGTCAGCTGTGTCGTTTTGACGCCATACTTTTCTAACTGTACCTCAGCTAGGTGAGTGACCTAAAAAACACACAAAATGGCTGGAACGTTGGAAATGATCTGCCTTACTTCCTGAAACTATGAATGTCCCAGTTGGAGGAGACAACAGTTCAGGTAACCACTCACCTGTTCCTATAAAACAAAGAAGTGCTAGTAGATAAATGTAGACTGCCATGTTGAGCAGTTTCTCGTCGTGTTTATCTCAGTTTCCGTGTTGAAGTCAACAGCACACAGCCTCCATAGCGCTCTACCTGAAGCCGTCAAGGGACCTAACTGTAGCGTTGCGTTGACACAGGTGATACTTCCGGGGTTGAGAGTTACCTGTGCCTGCCGTCAGTCAGCCACCCATCAAAGATGGACACAGAGCCCACTGCTACACCGACCCAAGCGTGGCCTGTTCCGGGTTGACATTATCAGTGAACCCTGGCCACCGCAAGGTGGACCAGGTCCTTTGAACTCTCACCCAAACATTACAGTCAAATATCTTGTTTAATGTAGTTTATTTTGAACATCAATCCGGCGAGCACACACGACTTGAAATCTTCTCTCGTTCACCAGCTGTATACTTTTCCTTCTGTTTGATATCTTTTCTTGACACCAGCTGTATACTTTTCCTTCTGTTTGATATCTTTTCTTGACACCAGCTGTATACTTTTCCTTCTGTTTGATATCTTTTCTTGACACCAGCTGTAAATTCTAGTGGAAAGTTCTGGCTGTTCATCCTCTTCTGGACTGCAGTTTTATTCCAGAAGCTGACAGTTGCGTGTGCATCAGTTTTACAGATCTGACTTATTTGAATGCAGACTGTTGGTTTATTGCCTCTCCGACATATGCACTCTGACTTCGAAGAAAGCTTCTAATTAGTCAACTCTTACGACATGCTTGTGGGTAGGTAGTGGGTTCCTATAACAGGGCCCCGGAACCCACACGAAATGACTTCCACTAGAATCATCTGCGATTCAAGATTGAGTTGGTCCTATTTTGATCTAACAGTTCTAGCCAGGCTAGAAATAAGCCAGATATGTAAAGACTGATGTGTACACAAAACTAAAGATCTGGAACAAGACTTAGGTCAAGAAGTGGACGAACAACCAGAACTTTCCAGTGGAGTTTACAGCTGGTGAACGCTAAGAAATAAGGAGAAGATATGCATAGCTAAAGGAACATTTCAGTTCCTTACTCAGGTATTTGGTGGCGTGATAGGGTGTGGGGGGGGGGGGTGTCTGAGCACCCACCATCCTCCTCCTTTTACAATGTATTTTGGGTAGGAGCACTCAAGGACCTGAGAAACCCCCCCCCCCCCCCCACCCCCTTTTTCAGAATCAATACCCAATAAATTGCCACGTGCGCATTTGATTTGATTGAAAACCGACATCACAGCACTCGGGACATTTCCATAAGCGCTCCATCCTCATCTTCAGCAGCCAGCGAAGAGCTCCGATACTAATGGTGCTAGTAGCATGCTGATTAAACGTCCGTCTTGCCTTTCCTCTAAGCCTCGAGTATCTGCCAGAACCTCTCGTCACTCCCGACTGCATCAATCTCACCAGACTGTGGTGATCCATCTGCTCCTCCGAACTGTACACGCTCTCCCACAAGGCACTAACCACGTCTGCCCTATCATGTATCAGTATTCCACCAAGTTGTGCAGAGCCAGCCAGTGTCCGCCTGTTCATTTCCAAACACACCGGCGTTCCCCGGTGAAAAAATCCATACATTTCTCCTCACCCGTGTCCTCTGCAGCGAAGCATGCCACTCTGCACGAAGCACACCTGTTCTGATCTTACTCAGCATGCTTTCTGAATCAGTTACAATAACGATGTGTGTGTGTGTCGTGTTCTCTAGCCAGCAGAAAGCTGCAGTGACCGCCTCCACCTCCATCCTTAAGCTGGATGTTGTGTGTCATATGCTAGGCTCTCCTGCACCAAACGTCCACCACTAACTTTTGCTAAGAAGCCCCAAACACTTCACTTGCCTCTTGTCACTGAATCGTCTGTGTAAATGATCAAATCCTCTGAGCGAGCATTATCTTGAATTAATTGCTGAATTTCCACCTCTGTGGCACCTACTGGCCAGTCTCTGCATTCCCGGCTCAGCGTGATTATGACTACACAAGTCTGACTGTTCAGGTGGCACTTTGACCCACTCCTCTCCTCGTCTAATGTTCTCAAGGATGCAAACCTGTCTGATCGTGTCTTCTGCCTGAGCCATCCATGACCTCCCTCTTATCACGTGCGCATTTGTTGTGTGTGCGTTTGTGTGTGCGTGTGTGGTAGGGGGGGGGGGGGGGGAGGGGAGGAAGGGGAGAGGGGGGGGGGGAGGTGTATGTGTCTTGTCCAACAATTTGAGTTTTGCGGGCACATCCGTTTTACAGATCTGGCTTATTTGTTTGCTGACTGAGTGTGTGACGTTTAACCCCATCATCGTGTGCCGGGTCGGTAGGCGTAGGCTGTCATCCAGTTATTGCTCTCTGATTTCCTCTTGCTCTCTTTCCATTTATCATGCCAGTTATTGCTCTCTGATTTCCTCTTGCTCTCTTTCCATTTATCATGCCAGTTATTGCGCTCTGATTTCCTCTTGCTCTCTTTCCATTTATCATGCCAGTTATTC